GGCGGGCGAGGGGGGAAGGAGCGGAGCCCGGCCCGGCCGACGCGGCTTTGTCTCCTTTGTTCCCGGCGGTGGCAGTGCCGCGGCGGGAGGGGCGGGCAGCAGGCGCAGTTTTCCGCCCCTCGGTCTCCGGGTAACAGCTGCGGCTCCGCCAGACCCACCTCCCGGGGCTGGGGGCGGGGGGAGCGAAGCCGCCGCGCGCAGATCCCGAGTCCCGAGCGGCCGGCGCCCGCCTCGGCGCGCTCATCCCGCGGGGGCCCGGCCGGGTGGTGAGTGCGGGGCCCGGGACCGGGGCGGGGGGACCCGGAGACGCGGCGCGCGCCGCGCTGGAAGGGCCTGAGGTCTAGATCCTGCCCGGCAGGGGCAGACGGTGAGTGGTGGGCGGCTTCGGTCCTGCGAGTTGGGACCACACTTCTCCGCGCGGAGGGAAACTCTGGCGGCTCCGCCTGTAACGCGATTGGGAGACGGAGGAGGTGGAGCTGCTCTTCCGCGCCCCCTCCTCGCCGCCACCCGCCGCCTCTGCCCGGGACCGGCCGGCCCTTTCCCCGCCCTCCCAGGACCACTGGTGGGGTCCCGGTCCCGCGCCTCTGGGAGGAGGGAGGACGCTCTGGGAGAGCCGGATCGGGAGGGTTAGCCCGACCGTCGGGACTAACCGCCTGAGGCTGCGCTCCACCGAGCCGACAAAGCCTCACACCCCGGCGGGGGGCCACCCTCTCCGCACACGGGTGCAGATGGTGGGTGATTGATGAGGACTCCGTGAGTCGTCGCAGGTGCCCTGTGAAAAGGTGGATTCCCTCACCCCACCTAACACACGGCGCAGCAGTGTGCAATACCGCACTGTCAATGAGTAACTCTCCTCCCTCCTGGATCCTGGGAGTCAGGCAGAGGGCAGAAAGGAAATCCCCTTTCCGCCTCCTCCACCAATCTCAGGACTCCATCATTTAAGACTAGGCTGAGACCGCTCTGCTGGCTTGGAAGGGCAGATCTTGAGAGCCCCTTTGATTGGTGAGGACAGCCCCCAGGAGGGTTCTGGAGGGATTTACTCTTTGCAGACAGAAGTTAGGCAGCTGCGAATCTTGCTGAAGATGACCAGAGAAGAGAGCTCAAAAGGAACCTCAGGGCAGACCTGATCAGAGACAGGGTTAGACTTTGCCGGTGTTGCCTGTGAAACTGGTCAGGACCTACCATCTGGGGAGTAGGCAGGAGATCCTAGCTGTGCAAGCTGGGGACCCAAGGTGTGATTCCTAACTAGCCTATTCAGTCTTCTATGGCCTGGTCATTAATAAAAGTGGGGCAGGTACCTTGATGTTTGAGTGGTTTGTGTGGGGTGTGGGCCCCATATCTTCCATGTTGGCTGTGTTTCCTTGGCTGTGAAGTAGGAGAACCTTCAACATGCTAGTAACACCTGCTCTGTACTAACATCTGTCCTGTTGCTGGAGCCTTTGAAACAAAAGCCACAGGTCCTGCCTTCAAGCAACTTCAAGTTCAGAGTTGAAGGGTAGTACAGGGAGACAATTGAAATTGGCCTTGGTTGGTGCCTCTATAATGCCAGGCACATACAATATCATGTATCACATTTACTGGTCCTGTATACAAATGAGAGATCAGAGGCTCTGAGAAGCTGGGTCAGAGCTGCATTTATGCACTGCACAGCAGAAGGGCTAGGTATGCCCCCACCCATTCCATGAGTAGGAGCCTGGGGGCAGGGAAGGAAGGCTCTTGGAGAGTTTGGTTGGCTGTCTAGAGTTAATGGGATAAAGAAGGAGTGGGCATTCCTGGCTCCTGTGTGACGGCAGGGAGGAGTGTGGAAAACCCGCAGTTCAGACGGCCAGGAACGAAGAGCATGTGTGGGGGAGCTGAGGCGGAACTGGAGGGGTTTGACCTTTATTCTTCAGCCCCAGGCTGCCCCTGAGACTCTGAGGGAAGGAATGTGTGCTGCTTCAAGACCCTGTGAGGTGGGAGTGGGTAGGCAAGAGTTGCGGGGGGCTACTCTGTGCCTGTGGTGGAAGTTTAAGTGAAATATGTATGCTCAATGAGAAGGAGAAAAGGTCACTGCCCCTCTTTTCCTCCTCCCTGCCCGTAGTACGTGGGGGTGAGTGCAGGAGGAGGACCCTCTTTTATCAGAGGACAATGATAGAGGAAACTTTTCTTAGTAGTTCAGCTTCTAGACTGCCAGGGAGCTGTTCTGATCCTGCCCATCCTTTTCCTGTGGGCCACTTGGCCCAGCTGTAATTTTACATTTGGGGAGCGTCTTGGTTGCTGCCCCTTGAGGGCTGGAGAAACTTGGCATGCAGTAGGCTCTGAGCAAATGTTTGCAAGTGAATGAAAGCATGAGTGTGCGTCTGACCAGGGCCCCTCTGCCCAAGGTGTCC